AGTATTTTCTCTTATTTATTTTTTGTTTAATCCTTATCGTATTTTTCCATTACCATTTAGTTCCCCTAAAACCCTCCTCCTCCCAGCAACACTGTCGTCCATGTCCATGAATCCTTTTTCCCTTTTTGCTCAGTCCCCCCTCCACTAGCTGTCATCTGCTCTCCATCTATGAGTCTGCCCCCATTTTCCTTGTTAGTTCAGTTTGTTCATTAGATTCCACATATGAGTGAAATCACATGGTACTTGTCTTTTTCTGACTGGCTTATTTCACTTAGCATAATGTTCTCCAGGTCTATCCACACTGTCTCAAATTGCGAAACTCTTCTCTTCTTTATGGTCAAGTAATATTCCATTGTGTAAATGTCCTGTAGTTGTTTTATCCACTCCTCTACTGATGGACACTTGGGCTGCTTGCATATCTTGACAATTGCAAATAACACTGCAATAAACATAAAAGTGCTTATGTCCTTTCAAACTAGTGTTTTGGGTTCCTTTGGATATATACCCAGAAGTGGGATTGCTGGGTCAAAAGGCAGATCCAATTTTAATTTTTTGAGGTATCTCCATATTGCTGTCCACAGTGGGTGCACCAACCTGTATTCCCACCACCACTGCAAAAGAGTTCCCCTTTCTCTACATGCTCACCGGTGTTTGCTGTTTGTTGATTTATTGATGATAGCCATTCTAACAGGTGTGATATGATGTCATTGTGGTTTTAATTTGTATTTTCTCTGAAGTATTTTCATTTCTCTTCTCCTCAACCTACACTTTATCTGGCTGACTATACCCCTCCATGGCCCACCCCATCCTTTAATACTCAGCTCAAGGGTACCCCAAAAACCTTCCATGATGTCCACCCAAGACATCCCTATTTGATGTTTCTACACATTTCTGAGTATATCTGTATCATTCACAGCTCTTACCATATTGTTTGGACATTAATTGTAAACTGGATTTGTGTGCATTAATCTTTTCTTCTCAATTAGTTTGTAAACATCAGAGGCATAGTTCTGATGTGAATGTTGCGAGATAACATGGGTGAATTTCCCAGCATCATTCCAGTTTTCCATGGGTCTGCTACTTTCTAAGTGACTTTGTGTACATTACTTTAACTCTCTGAATCTCAGTTTCATCTTCTGCACAGGATGTTCTGAGAATTAAATGAGTTTGTGCATGTGAGAAATGTGATTATGACTGTCTCTCTCATTCCATATTGCATCTAATTCAGTGCCAGGCACATAAAAGGTGCTTTTATAAAACACCTTACTTTAATAAACATTTGTATAGGGAGTGGGTGAATTCTACGGGGACTATTCTGTCAAAAGGAAGGCACTTGGGCTTTGTGTTAGGTGGCTGTCTGTTTGTGGAGACAGAAACCATAGGAGATCCTCCAGAAAGGCAGATCTCCCAGGGACGTGCTGCGTGGTAGCATGGGAAAATCAGCTCTTAGGGTTTACATGGGGGCATTCCTGTCCCGCTTCCACGTTCTGCTATTTCCCACAACAAAAGGGAAGTCTCTGAGGACTCTTGCAGGAATAAAGTCTCCCCTCCCTCTTGTACAACTCCCCGAAGAGGAGCTGATGCACAGAACTAAACCGAGTCCCGCCAGCATCGGCGCTGATTTTCCCAGGCATTCCATCTCTTCTGCCTAACTGGCACTTACCCATCGGTGTTGCCCAGTGGAACTTTCTGCAGTGGGGAAAACACTGTGTACAGGGTAGGGCAAAAGTAGGTTTACAGTTGTGGCTATGCAAAACACAGAGTTTATTCTTATGTTATTTATTAATTCTTGTATTATTTTTCATACAAGCAACTGTAAACCTTTTTGCCCCACCCTGTATATGCTGTTCAGTATAGTAGCCACTTAGCTGCATGTGACTATTGAGTCATAGACGTGTGGCTAGTCTGACTTAATAATTGATTTTAAAACTTTTTAAAAAATAAATCGAACAGTGCAGTTTTATAAAAACATGTTTGTTGACTTTTCAAATTGCCATTTACTTGCTACATACACTTGTACAGAGCATTTACTACATAGCCTCCTGGTTTTGCTGGCTCTAATCTACTCTCTACATATCAACCAGAGCAGCTGACCATGTCCTTGACCTGCTTAAACACCTGTCAATCAGTTTCTATCACACAGAGGATCAAGTACTCCATATATGAGTTCTCCAGAATCTGCCCTTACTTACTGATGCAGCCACTCGTTGCTTTGCTCTATACCTCAGATACATTCTCTTTTGCTTTTTGCCCATGCTTCTCCTGTTACCTCAACCATCCTTTCTCCCTGTGCTCCTGTTTTCTTTGCCCAGCTTACTTCTACTTGGCCTTGAACATCAGATGCTCTGTCCTCCATGAAGCTTTGTCTGAACATTCTTTTTACCCATCCCCTCTCCCCCAGACCGGGCTGTGTGCTCTTCCTCTGGGTTCTCGTAGCCTTCATGCTTTCCTCTGTCAGCATGCTGGTCATGCTGGGTTGTAATTACTGATTAAATCTCTTTCCCCTTCTGGACTGTGAACTCCTAAAAACCAGGACAGTGTTATATGCACCTCTTTATCTCCACCATCTGCACAGAGCCTGCCTCAGAAGAGAAATCAAGGAGTGTCTAAGTAAATTATTCTAAAACATGTTGAGCTCTGTATTTACTGGAATTATACTTGTCAAGTTCTTTTTAATCTCTCATTCCATTTATGACTTTGAGTACTCTGTGGCAGGCAGGGGCCTTGACTCAGTTTGTTGGTAAAGGAAACTGAGGTTCAATGAGTATAAGAGATGTGCTCCACATTATAAAGCTATCAGGTCTGAGTCTGAATAGAATCTGGCTCCTCAAACTCATTTTATCCATCTTCTACATTTAATAAAGGTCCTCGTTCCTCCTCAGTCCTCAGTGACCCTTTCCACACTAAAATTTTCTCACAGCCTTTATAAGACGCTAGGGTTGATTTGGGAAACTTGTTAATTTTTATCTTGATGATTGTGTTGACAGGGTTTATGAATTTTAAACTGCTCAAATGCGATATTTCTGATGGGTATTTCTCCATAACCTTCTATAGAAGATTGTTGTGGTGCCCACACCTCATCTGTACTTTCAATGTAGGTGAATGAACAGTTCTATGCATGTTGCCAGCAACCCATCTCAAAAGTTTTCTGGTCCCCCTTTTTTATGCCTCAAGGTTTTCTCACAAACTCTAGAAGGTTGCATAGCTCTGGGCACACTTAACCAGGAAATGTTAAAGCTTTCAAGTTGGGGTTTGGAGGTAACCCTCAGTCAGTGGGAATGGAAATTAAGATGTAAATGACCAGCTTCCTTGTTCTTTCGTAGGACGATGCTGAGGCACATTCTACGTAGTTCTTCAAAGAGTCTACAGTGGGATTAAGCCCAGTTGTCTACTATAGCAATCAGCTCAACAACACACATTTTTCTTGTTTTTTCTCTCATTTGTCCCTCATTCTCTCCACCTTGCTCAGTTCCATGGGCTTACCTCCCAAACACATTAACAGCACCCAACCCCTTTCCTCAGGCTGTTTTTGGGGAACCCAAATGAAGACGCTACCTAACTCCACAGGAACTTCTTTAGGGATAACAGTTTTCCCCAGGGGAGATGTACTCTAGTCATACTGGACTTGTAGATTCGCAGCTGATCCCCACACTCTGTGCCTCGGTTCATGCTGTTCCCCCTGCCTGTCACACTCTTCCTCTTCTTTGCCTGGCTGACAGCTATTCATTCTTCAAGACTCTGGTAGGGTGTCCACTCCTCTCATAAGTCTTCAATAATTACTTCCATCCCCCAGTTTAGAGTTTCATCTCTATGATCCTGCAGCACTTGGAATACTAGTTACCCTCTATGAAAACCATTATCTCTTCCTTTTTCTGTGAGCCCCTTGAGGAGTGGGGGCCTACCTAGCAAGGTACTTGTTAAAAATTTTAAATTCCACCGCCTACGCTGGAACAGAGAATGTATAGTCACCAGCTAAATACCTGACCAAGAGATTCCCCACATAAGAAGCAACTGAGGCATAACCCTGCTGGAAACCGGTTCAATTTCCACTGTCCTCTCCCCTCTCTCTCGGGTTTTCTACAGAATCAGCCCTCCATGATCAGATACCCAGGACACCTGGAGCAAATTGGCAGGGTGCGTCACCCTCCCCAGGTGTGGAGCGGTCTGCTAGACACCTTTAAAAGCCCTTCTACCCTTACCCTTGTAGCTGCATTCCATTCGGCCTCATTGCAGTGTCCTGTCTGGAATAAAAGCCCTTCGTTGGACTTTTCTGGCTCCGGATACTTTCTTAGCCACCTTGGCTAACAGTAGGAATGTGAGGTTGTGAACTTAGGAATCATTTTCATTCCACAAAGATTTTCTGAACACTTTCTTTGTAACAGCACTGCGCTGTAAAGGAGCTCACCATCAATAGAAGAATAGAGAACAACAGGACAACAGGCCGTAAGTGTTAGGACAGTGATGCACGGGGACGTTGGACCTCTGCGTGTGTAGGGTGGTGTGGGCACAGAACTGTTGACTTTCAGGGCATTTCAGTTGAAAGACTTGTTATCCAGCACCTCCACCAGGCCAAGCACACTGGTGGGTGGGGTGGAGAAGCGCCACCTTCTTGATCTTCCAGATCAAGAAGCCTGTCTCAAGCTCCCCAAGTTAAGTGACAACCGCAGAAAAGCTACCACCCAGTTCTGTGGTCAGCAAGAGGACCCCCGTCCGTGGCTGGGGAACACCAGCCCAGCAGACTGGGTCTCTGAACCCCAGAAGCAGCGGAGCACGCTCAGTTGCTAGGACCCGGGGGCGGGGGGCTGGTAGTCCGGAGGAAGCCTGGTGGAGTCCCAGCACCGAAGGCGCCTGGGCCCGGTGGGGGTTCGCGCCGAGGGGGCGGGGCCTCAGATGCTAAATACCTCCAATCCTTCGGACCGCCCCCTGGCACGCGCCTGTCGGCCGCCCGTTGCCCTGGCAACCGTCGCGCCGCGTCCGCTGCAGGGAGCTCCGGTGGCCCGCAGATCTTATCGCCCGCTCCCCACTGCCCTGTGATTTTCTTCTGGGCTCTGAGGAGGAGGGACCACAAAAAATGGCGGAGCGGAGCCAGACGGCGTCTGAGGCAGGTGTGTGGGGGCGGTCGACCAGGGAAAGCGCTGATGCAGCACGGCTGTCCTGGGCCTTTGGGGACAGGGGACTTGAGCATGGCCCTACTCCTAAAGGAGGCACCCCTGTGTGTTTGCGCGTTGAGGCAATGACCCCGGGGTCAGGGGTCAAAGGAGATGCATCCCTCTCTGTGGCAGTCAGGGACATCGGAGTCCTGGTGGCAGAGGGATGTATGGGAGAGTGTGGCACTTGTGAGTGAACGTGGGGCCCCCTGGGAGGACATAGGACTCCAGTCCTGAGAGGCACCCATCATGGGGGCTGATCACAGGGGTAGGCTGCGTCATGGAGAGGATAGACACAGTTCTGTGCGAATATGAGAAGGGACTCCCTAAAGGGCCATGGCTTGGGGGAGAGGGGCTCTGATTCTGAGGAGGCAGGTGAATTTAAGAGAAGTTTTACTTTAATATCAGGCAGTGCCATGGAAGGGGAATATACACAAAGTATTTGTTTTTTGAAGTAGGCTAGTGCCTTAGGCTCACCCCTGGACACAGGGAAAGTATACAATTCCTTATATGGGTCCTTAAAAGGACAAGAGGCTAGAGGGGACACCCAGAGCTCCAGTCCTTCAAAGGAGGCTGAAGCCCTAGTGTGAATGAATATTGGATCAGTGAGCTTGAAGGTCATTCAGAATTACAGGGGTTCATATCCATATATTTGTGGTTGGAAGATAGTCTTTAAGAGGCAAGATGACTGATAGGAAGGGAGACATAGGATCATATTCCGAGGTGAGCGCCTTGTATTACTGGGCTTGGAGAGATATTGACCTAAGTGTCTTACAGGGTCATAGAAGACGGGAAGGGGTTTTACAGTCTTGTGTATACAGAAAGGAGTTTGTCCCCAAAAGGGGCTGAGGTCAGAAGAACTGGAGCCTTAATACAAATGATAATCTGTGTGTGTGTTGAGAAGCAGTGGCTTTGTGGGTGTATGTGGTGGTGGGTGATGGAAGTTGCATAATCTTGTATACGTGTCCTGGTTAAGTATTTTGGTTACATGAGTGACCCACTTGGGAGGTGGTCGTTATGGTAAGACCATATAGTGACTGGAACTAGAAACTGTATGAAACCATCAAGAATGACCAAAGGCCTGAGTGGTTTCTCTTACTTTCATGGTATCTCTGTGTCTTCCAATAAGTGGTTAGTTCCTCTACTCATTCATAATTTAAACTCCCTCATAACTTAAACATACTTATTCCTTTATATACTCATCCACTCAACGAATATTTATTGAGTGCCAACTGTATGCCAGGAAACAAGTTAGGCACTGGAACCTCCTTGCTTGGGATTCTCTTGTTCTTTATTTTCCCTGTAGACCTACTGTCTTCAAGTATTTATTTAAATTAATATTTTTACTACTTATTGCCTGTCTTTTTTACTAGAATGTAAGATCCATGAAGGCAAGGGTCTTTGTTGTGTTTATCAATCCCAACGTCCAAAACTGTACCTTGTGTAGAAGTACAGTAGGTAGAGTAGGTTATGACAAGTGTTATTAAATGAATAGCTGAGTAGGCTGATATGGCCTAGCAGGGGTGTCCAGCTTGTGGGCTGTGGGCCTCATGCAGCCCAGGATGACTGTGAATGCGGCCCAACACAAAATTGTGAATTTACTTAAAACCTTTTTTTTTTTGCTCATCAGTTCTCGTTAGTGTTTGTGTATTTAATGTGTGGCCCAAGACAACTCTTGTTTTTCCATTGTGGCCCAGAGAAGCTAAAAGTTTGGACACCCCTGGGAGGTTTAAGTTTTCTCTGAAGAAGTGATATTTTAGCTGAGATATAATCGTGATTGAATAAATGAAGAGAAAGGCAAAGAGTGATCTAGGAGCTGAAAGCCATGTACAAGGAGCTAAGGTAGGAGGAAACATGATGTGTGTTTAAGGAACTACAAGAAGATAGGTGTGGCTGCATGTAGGGCAATAGGAGATTCAGAGGTAAACTGAACCAGATTTTGCAGGGTCTTATACAATATAACATAAATTTTGGTTAAAAATACCAGGAATAAAGGAAGCCATTGACAGTTTTTAAGTGGGAACATGACATGATTAGGATCATTAAAAAAATAACTGGCTACATGTGGGAAGTACTGAAGATATGAGTGGACATAAGGAGACTTGTTAGAAGGCAGTGGAGTTGGAGAGAAATTGTGAAATATTTAAGAGATAAAATTTATAGGACTTCATGGAAAATGGAGATGAGGAAGAAGGAATTATGAAGGCATACTTTCAATTTTCTAATTTGTGCCACTGGATAGTTGGGGGAACCATTGCAGAGAATAGGGAACACTGGAAGGGACCTTGGCTAGGTTTGAGAAGGAAGATCATGAGTTTGGTTTTGGGCATTTGGAGCCTGAGGTATCTTGAAGGTATCCAAATAACTGGAGAGATTGACAAGGCAGTTTAATTAACAAGGAAAATCTGACCTGGCATAGAGATAATTACTGAAGTCATAGTGTAGATGAAATTCCCAAGAGGAAGAGTTAAGAGTGGGCAGAGAAAAGACCGGGGGTAAAATTTTGAGTAGCTGCAATATTTCAGTGCCTTCCAAAGAAACTGATAGAGAGATAAGAGAACAACCAAAAGAATATTTCAAGACAAATGGCATATTCAACAGATTAAGTGCTACTAAATGATATAAAAAGGATGACTACAATACTAGATATAGCAGTAGATTTAATATCATTAGTAACCTTGAGAAAGAAAATTGATCAAGTCAGGAGCCAAACCATTTAACTTTTGAGCCAGTATTAACTGCCTCAATCTTTGTCCCTTAATTCAGATTCCCAAGAGAGACAATCTGATTGACACACATCATCTTTTCCCATTAGATCATGTCATAGATCACAAGCCAGTGTAAGACTATTTTTGGATTAGGTGTCCAGCTATTGTGGGCTGGAGTCATCTGGTGCAGAATATGTCCATCAGGTGATTTTTCATCTTAATAGCAATGGCTATGATTTATGGAGTGTGTATCATGTGCCCAACATTGTACTAGGTGCTTTGTATGTCTTAATCTACTTCAGCATTATAATTACTATCTAAGGTAGGATCTCTATTTGATTAATATGTGAAGAAGTTTTGGCACAGAGAAATTAAAAAACTTGCTTAAGATGTGCAAATAATTAGTGTGAGATGGTAGTTTTTTGGCTATTTTAGCATTGTCCAGATTTATTATTTGGCTTGTTATTTGTATTGCAACATACAACATACTGAAGAAATAACAGCCACGATGAAATTTCCTGCTCAACTGGAAATATTCTAAGCTAAGCATACATTAGCAAAGGTGAAGCAGAAAAGAACTTGGGCTCAGATTTTTGTTTAAGTTCTGCTTCTATGACTTAATTAGATGTGGACCTTGGATTCAAATATTTTAATCAGTTTCTTCATCTGTAAAAGGAAGATGATATTTGTAGGATAGTTGTGAATTATAGAGATAATATATCTAAAGAGCCCAATAAATGGTATTTCCCTAGTTTCCCTGAAGCTCGAATATAAAAGAATTCAAGTGTGCTACATATATAAACAAGCTTTATTTAAAAAAAAATTATTATTATTGTTGACCCTCACCCGAGGATATCATCATTGATTTTAGAGAGAGGGGAAGGGAGGGAGAGAGAAACATGTATTGGTTGGCTCCCATATGGCCTCTGACCAGCCAGGCATGTGCCCTGACCAGTAATCAAACCTACAACATTTTGTTCACAGGACGATTCTCCACACAATTGAGCCACACTGGGCAGGGCTAAAAGCAAGCTTAAACATACAGTGATTAATGTTACATATTCTTCTTTTTCATTTTTTTCTCATTGATATAATTGATTTGCTATCAGAAGAAAGCCAGACACCAAGTTCTGGAGAATGCAGAATTGTTTGAACTATCTTCACGGGACATACCTTTTATAAGGTGGATTTTGAGGAGTTTCTTGAAGGAGTACTAGCTCTGTAAGAAGGTCAGCTTTGCAAAGGGAAGTTTCTTCTTTTAAACATTGTACTTTAAAATCAGGACATGAATGTCAGAATTTTTCTCCTCCAACAATTTGACTATTATTGATAATAAAAAAGAACACTTGTAGTTAACAAACATAGGAATTTTAGTCTCAGGCTAGATGACCACTGCTTCAGTTTCCCAGATTCTTCTCCCCACTGTCCAACTATCATTAAAAAAAGCTTTTGTTTGAATTACCTGGCAAGACAATTTGTTTTCCTGTATTGCCAAGCGTGTTACTTTTGTGGAGATAGCCTAGAAATTTTAGAATGGTGCCATCTGTTAAAATGGCCTGTACCTTGATCGCTTTCTTTGCGAAATAAACTTTAAAAAAATAAGCAACTAGGTATCTGAAACCATCCATAGGCAGAATCTTGAAATTTTATAAAACCTTAATCATGAGAATAATGTTTTCTATATTTGTTAGTAGTTGGGCAAAATATGTAAGCCTTTTATGTTTTAGTTTCCTTCTTTGTAAATTGGTGATAGTAGTACCTTCTATTCTGGTGAGAATTAGAGATAAGATATGAAATGTGTTCAATGTACAAATAAATGGTAGCTTAATTTGGGAACACCAGTGATTTTTAACCTTTTTTCATCTCATGGCACACATAAACTAATTTCTAAAATTATGCAGCACACCAAAACAATACATTTTTTGCCAATCTGACAAAAAATAGGTATAATTTTGATTCGTTCACTCTGGATGACTATTGTTGTCTTGGCTATTGTCAGTTTTTTATTTGACAGTCTAAGGGTAAAGAGGTCAGTGACTGTGACTAAATAGTCATATATTTCATGTTTTAAAAATCCTTGTGGTACACCAGTTGAAAATTGCTGCTGTTTACATGTGTGTGTCTGTCTGCCTTGGTCTGTGGATGTATGTGTGCCTTTTTGTAAAGGCTTTATGGTAAAATCACTGTTAAAAGAAGAGGAAATCCAGGTCTATAATCCCTCATCTGAAGCCTTGGATTCAAATGCATTTC